GCGCCTCGGCCCGGGGCCACCAGCGAGCGAGGCGTCTCGAACCGCCCCCCCAGCCCCGGCTCTCCGCCCGGCGCCCCTCCCCGTGCCCCGGCCCGCGGGCGGCTCCGGGATGCCCCGCCACGGGGGGGCTGCGGCGCGGCCGGGGATGCTGCCGGGGGCCGGCGCCCAGTGACACCCCCGCTCCAGAGACGCCGGGGCAAGGGACGGCAGCAGCCACCGCAGCAGGGGGACGCACACAGCCCGCCCCAGCCCACGGCCCCGAGAGCGGCGAGGGGCCGGCTCTGATCGCGGGGGGCCGGGGGCTCACCATGGCCAACAGACCCAAGACCAGCGAGGCCTTGAAGGTGGTGGCCCGCTGCCGCCCCATGAACAGGAAGGAGGAAGCGGCCGGGTACGAGAGGATCTTGGAGATGGACGTGAAACTGGGGCAAGTGACCCTGCGGAACCCCAAGGCCGCCCCCGGGGAGCTGGCGAAGACCTTCACGTTCGACGCCGTGTACGACGCCAGCTCCAAGCAGGCGGACCTGTACGACGAGACCGTCAGGCCCCTGATAGACTCCGTCCTGCAAGGATTCAACGGGACCATCTTCGCCTACGGCCAGACGGGCACCGGGAAGACCTACACTATGCAAGGGGCCTGGACGGACTCAGAGAAGAGAGGGATCGTCCCCAATTCCTTTGAGCACATCTTCACCCACATCTCCCGGTCCCAGAACCAGCAGTACCTAGTGAGGGCCTCCTACCTGGAGATCTACCAAGAGGAGATCCGAGACCTCCTGGCGAAGGACCAGAGCAAGAAACTGGAGCTGAAGGAGAACCCCGAGACGGGAGTTTACATCAAAGACCTCTCCTCGTTCGTGACCAAGAACGTCAAGGAGATCGAGCACGTCATGAACCTGGGCAACCAGACCCGATCGGTGGGCAGCACCAACATGAATGAATACAGCTCCCGCTCCCACGCCATCTTTGTGATCACGGTGGAGTGCAGCGAGATCGGCCTGGATGGAGAGGACCACATCCGGGTGGGCAAGCTCAACCTGGTGGACTTGGCAGGCAGCGAGCGCCAGAGCAAAATGGGGGGGCCAGGAGAGAGGCCTAAGGAGGCTTCCAAGATTAACCTCTCCCTCTCCGCTCTGGGCAACGTCATCTCTGCCTTGGTCGATGGCAAAAGCACTCACATCCCCTACAGAGACTCCAAGCTGACTCGCCTCCTGCAGGACTCCTTGGGTGGCAATGCCAAGACCATCATGGTGGCCACCCTAGGCCCCGCCTCTCACAGCTACGACGAGAGCTTGTCCACCCTCAGGTTTGCCAACAGGGCAAAGAACATCAAGAATAAGCCGAGGGTCAACGAGGACCCGAAGGACACCCTGCTGCGGGAGTTCCAGGAGGAGATCATCCGGCTGAAAGCCCAGCTGGAGAAGCGAGGGATGCTGAGCAAGAAAAGGAGGAGAAACAGCCGAAGGAAGAAGGTGGTGGATGGAGAGGGCAATACAGAGGCCGAAGGGGAGGAGGACAATGACGACGGCCTGGAGAAGAACATGGAGAGTTACTTGAAGGAGCAGAAGGAGAGGTTGGAAGAGGAGAAGGCGGCCATTCAAGATGACCACAGCCTGGTGAGTGAGGAGAAGCAGAAGCTGCTGGAGGAGAAGGAGAAGATGATAGAGGATCTGAGGAAGGAGCAAGAAGCCACCGAGTTACTGGCCATTAAGTACAAGGTAAGTGTCTCTGTGCTCGCTCGCACCACCAAGGGTTTGCATGGTCAAGCTGGGAGAGGGTCCTGTTTCACTAGCCTTCCTGGTGCACTACATCCTACAGCCCACGCTGGGTAGTGCACCTACAGCATTGCACTGCGGGAGCTTGTGTGTTTATGTGCTGTCTTGCCATAGATTCCTTTAGAGTATCCCGGCCACTGACTGCCAGGCCCTGCCTTCCTCGCTTGCCTCTGGCTGGGAGGGGCCGGGGGGAGGGGAGAGCAGTCTGGCAGTGACTGCTCATCCCTGGGATGAGTTCGGCATCCTCGGCTAGGTCCCCGCCACATGACAAAGCTGTTTGCAGTGGTTGTATGCTCCAGTGATACTGCGAATTCATACCCAGGACCATGGAGGTGACCTCCCAGATACGCACTGGCCAGCAGAGCCTGGGGGACAATGACAACCAATTGCAGCCCACGGTTCCAAAAGCCTCCCTATTGTCTTCCGTCCTTCCTCTCAGCAGGTCCGTAACTGGTCTGCGAGCAAGGAGCGGCAGACCAATCGCAGCATCACGCCTCTTCAGGGCACCAGTGCCCCACCCCTGCTGGACCCTGGGAACCCCGGTGGTTCTCCACACATTATATCCCCCCCCACCCTCTGCTTGACCTCCCCTCGCCCACAGAACGGAGCAGCCAGGAAGTGGGAGGGGGTTTCATTTTACTCCGGATTGGCTCCATTGCTGTTGCGGAGCTGAGATTGTGATGCTCTGTTTGAAAGCAAGAGCTACTGTCGCTGCGTGGGAGCCCGAGGCTGGGACAGTGTATCTGGGGCGTGGCTCATGGTCTGACATACAGTGCTCACCCCAGTGCATGCAGCGCTTGGCAGAGCCCTGGAGAGCACCTTGGAGGGCCTACCCCAGGTCTGTGCTTTCTAAGCTTAGTACAGCTAGCACATTCCAGCCAGAGCGCTCACATCACTGCCAAGGGGGTGCCATACCATCGCCTCCAGCTGGGGAAACTGAGGCATGTACTTCCCCAAGGTCACAGAGCACGTCTGCTCTAGAGCTGGGGAAAGAACCCAGGAGTCCTGACTCTCAGCCCCATGCTCGGTCCATTAAATCACAGCTGCCCTCCCACGACTTCCTCTGATTCATGTTTGGACAGAATCCCCAGGCCAGAGGCCTGGCCCAGTGCCCCTCCATTAACTCCCATGCAGCCACCCCTGCTTACCCTAGTGGAGAATTGGAGCCCGGCCCTCCCATGCCGCACCCTCCCCAGAACCGGCTACTGGTGTCCGTGGTTCTGGTACAAGCGTTACCTCTGCCCGGGCACCTAGCCCAGCCTTTTGGAGAGCGGCGCGCCAGTGCGCCTGTATGAGGGCTGAGCACCCCCACCCGGCAAGGGCTTTGCCACCCAAACCCCCCCACCCTAAATGTCTGGGATGGAGACCCCTGCAAGCCCTGGACTGTCAGTGCAGGTCCCCGCAGGCTGCCCCCTCCCCTTGCTGCCTCTGGGGGATGGAGGACGTTATTGTCGCTGGTTTCTCCGGACCCTTGGCTGTGTGTTTCTGTTGTTGCCTCTCCTGGGCGTGGAGGGGACGGCGGGGCGCGTTTGGGGGCTGGAGTGGGGTTGAGGATCAGGTGTGTTTCCTGGTGGGTTAACGCCCTATGCGCCGGAGGACGCTGGTGTGGTTCGTTAACTCCTGGCAGCACCGTGTAGCAGACGTGAATGTTAGGTGTGATCTCTTTGGAGGAGCTGCTTTCCCCCTGGGGGTAGCTGTGGGGACCGGGGTGTATTTGGGCAGGATTCCTGAAGGCCACGGCCACCAAGCCCCCGCGTGGGAAGCTTGGGCTGAAATCAGCAAAAATCCTTGATGCAGAGAAACGTTCCCCTTTGGGCCAGTCCCAGCATCCCGCGGGGCCTGGTGGGTTTACAGAGCGGTGCTGTGGCCTGTGGGCATTGGGAGCCCTGGTCAGGGCTCCTGCTGAGGGTCTGGGTGTGGCAGCAGGTCAGTACGGGACCAAGGGGCCCAGGTACAGTGATGGGTCAGTGGTCTCCAGAACCCAGCTGGGGCAAAGAGTCAGTGCTGTGTATGGAGCACTGGATTAATGATGCACCCAGGCGCCCACTTAGAAAGGCAGCTCTCTGCCACCCTCCCACCGGGACCTCTGCCCGCTCTGAGTCCTTATTCTCTATCTGGGCAGGAGCAGCCCAAGGCAAGGACCATCTCACCGAGCAGTGCCGGCTTCCTGAGGGCCGGGGCCGGGTCTGATCAACAGTAAGGGTGTCAGGTGATCCCCACAGCGGACAGGACGGAATCGCCCCTCCAATGGGCAGTCTGGCCCAGTTAGCACGGGACATTGAGGGGTTGCTCTAAAGCATCATGTTGCAGCTGCTGCCGGAGGCAAGAGACTAGACTGAGAAGGCCACTGGTCCGGCATTTCCCCCGTAATCCAGTATGTGAGGAGGGGCCGCTGCTCGGGGCTGAGGTGCATTGGCAGAGCAGCTGTGTGTTGAGGGGGGAGGATCCCAGGCCGGGAACAGGGGGAAGGGCTGCAGGTAGGGAGCCCCAGACTGGAGGAGCAGGGGTAGCTATGGGCTGGCCATGAGATGCATCAGCAGATTGGAGGTGGCGGCGTGGCACACGGGGCTGGAATAGCAGGAGGTGCTCAGGAAAGAGGGGCACTTCCAGATCTGCTGAGGACCCGGTCTGCACTTTGCCTGGGTCAAGCTCTGTTGGTTCTTAGGCACCCAAGTTTTGTGACCTTGGAGCTGCTCGCTAATGTGTCTGCAGCTTGAGCGCTTCCTCACAGGGACGTGAACACAAAATCTCAAGTCACGGGGCTGGGCCGCTCACCTTCCAGATCCTGGGCGGACCGAGTGGGCGGGTGGCCGGCCAAGGGCTGTGTATTAATGGGAAAGATGCACCAAGCCTTGAGCTGGAGCCGTCCAAGCAGGAATTGGCTCAGAGATTTAGAGGGACAGAATTCAGATGCTCTCATTTCAGAAGCATGAGTCCTTCAGCCGAAGGATCGCCTGTGAGCTAAACCTGACCAGAACTGATTCCATCCAGGAGTGAGCAGAGACATGCGAGGCCCCCCCCACACACACCCCTTGCAATATTCTGCAGTGCCCCTCAGACTGCACAGAGGGGTAGGGGTTCCCCGCAGGCTGGTCCAGGCTGTCTGAACCGGGCACTGGCCATCCTTTACCTCTGCAAATCCTCCTGGAAACGTCCCTCCCTCTCGACCCTTGGGCCTGCCATTGTGTGTCAGAGGTTGGCAGCCTCTCTGCATCCCCGTTCTTGTGTGCCGTGACCCTGCCAGCCTCTTCCGCGCTATGGGGAGCTTTGGTTTTGCTCTGCTTTTCCTTGCTCAGCCCCAGGCCCTTTGTTCTCCTGATAATGGCTGTTAACACCCCTGGGTTTTGGGAGCGGTGCAGTGCAGACCCTCCGTGCTGCACCGGGCCGCTGGCAGTGTCTCTCTCTCGCAGTGGGCCCCATTTTGGCATCAGACCCATTTCCACACTGGGATCTCCGGTGTATGCTGATGGCTGTTTGTTAACTAGTTCCCTGCCCCCTGACCCCACAATCACATTTTCCCTCCCCCCATCGCCTTGCCAGCTGTGCACGGTCTGGGCCCAGTCCTGTAGGCCTGGCTCAGTTAATGTTCCAGTTCTCTCAGTGGGAGGGAGGCCGATGGCAGGACGCAGCCCCGGAATGGGGGTGGGGAGGATTCTCCACCATCTTGCCCAGCCGTTGCTGTCTCAGTCACTGTGTGTACTGGGTGTCATCCTGCTTTGGGCTGGAGGCCGCAGCGCTGCTGTGTGGTGCCCTTGGCCTGGCCTCTCCAGCTACGCGCCCACTTCCCACCTGCTCTCACTCTGGGGGTGCTGCTGCTCCTCGTCCCTAGGAGGCAGACAGGGGCAGTCTGGTTTACACACGCTGCCCACGCAACAGGATTTTCCGCTTCCAGCTCGGAAGGCAGCCATGAATCGGGGGCTTGGACGCAGCTTGCACGGGTGGCCGGGGTGAGGCGTACAGGGGAGGGGGCACCAGCCTCTTGGGCGAGGCTGGCATTACCAGGAGCATTATGTGCATTGGGCTGGAGCGCCGGGCAGGGCACTAGGAGTCTATGGAGAAGGCCTGCCACCTGTCCCAGTGTTTGCAGAACAGCCCGGAGTGCTCCCCCGTTCCATAGGCTGCCCCCCCGATGCCCACACAGGGGCCCAGCAGCTCATGTTCCCACAGTGTTCCCTGGCTAGCGAGGTGCCCTGTGAGGCCACCCCCTTTGGCTGGGACGTGAGCTGTGCCATGTGCTGTGGGACTCACGGAGGTGGAACTGCCAATCTTACCTGCTGGGCTCTCCGAAATGTGCTCCGCAGATCAGTGGCGCCTGCCTTCCCCCGTGAGCGCCTGCTGGTGGTTCAGGGACACTCCAGTCTCCCCCCTTGGACTGCAATGCTGAGCCTCCGTGCAGGGCACCACCAGCCTCCCATGCATCCCGCTGTGACCCGCCCTGCAGCACCGGCTGCTCCCAGCCCCGTGGCGGGGAGAGCGGTCCCACTCCCGGAGCGGTTTACGCTGGCGCCAAGGGGCTGGAGCAGGCTCTGTGGCAGGTTTGCAGCACCAACAAAGAGGAGGCAGCGGGCGCTGGCTGGTGCAGCTGAGGTCGTAGGGGGCATTAAGAGAAGAGGGTGGCCCAGTGCTTTGGGGGGGGGGGGGGAAGCTCCTTCCTGGCTAGCCATAGTCTCAGGTTCCCCTTCCACTCCACCTTGTTGGCTACCTTGCCCTTGGCTGCCTTTACTTCCTGTGGGGATGTCAGCACCTCTCTGAACGAGGCTCTTGGGTAGGGTAACTGCTGGGGTGTTCGTGCAGGAACTGCAGTAATAATGCCCACGGGGAGTCAGAACAGTGAGTTTGGGGATGCAGGGGCTGATATTTAAACTAGAGAGATTGTTTCCCTCCAGACTGCGGGGTCTCAGGGCATGCCGCTGATGTGATCAAAAGTGGGTTCATTCTAGCAG